TATCATCTATCAGTTGTTGGTGAGCGTGCTGGCTCCTTTTGCCCACCCTCTGCCACCCGGTAGTTTCTGGTTGTCTGCATCTTGACGTGCGATCCTCAACTGTGTGAGGATGGCCGTCCGATGGCCACAGATGAAGTCGGCAGGGCGGGACGAGTTGAGTTAACGAGTTTTGGGTGGGAAGCTGCGATCGGGACTGTATTTGCACAGGTACAGCCGTTGGTGCGCACCACTATCTCATGTGCTTGTTTTCAGCGTCTTGTGCAAACTAGTTGGAGCTTCACATCGAGTGGCCGATTCAGGATGCGTGAGCGGAATCCGGATTGCTCAGGTACAGCCGTTGGTGCGCACCACTATCTCATGTGCTTGCCTTCAGCGTCTTGTGCAAACTAGGTGGAGCTTCACATCGGATGCCCGATTTCGTTGACGTAGAATGGATGAAGAGAAAGTGAGGTTAATGTATACCCGATGCAGGATTCGAACCTACGACCATCTGCTCCGTAGGCAGACATTCTATCCAGCTGAACTAATCGGGCGATGAAGCTAGTCACTTTAATTGATATTAAAGTTGAATACTCTTCCGAAATGGTTTAGGCGGTAATTGGTCAATCCGTCAGGATACGTGAGCGGAATTCGGATTGCTCAGGTACAGCCGTTGGTGCGCACCACTATCTCATGTGCTTGCCTTCAGCGTCTTGTGCAAACTAGGTGGAGCTTCACATCGGATGCCCGATTTCGTTGACGTAGAATGGATGAAGAGGAAGTGAGGTTAATGTATACCCGATGCAGGATTCGAACCTACGACCATCTGCTCCGTAGGCAGACATTCTATCCAGCTGAACTAATCGGGCGATGAAGCTAGTCACTTTAATTGATATTAAAGTTGAATACTCTTCCGAAATGGTTTAGGCGGTAATTGGTCAATCCGTCAGGATGCGTGAGCGGAATCCGGATCGCTCAGGTACAGCCGTTGGTGCGCACCACTATCTCTTGAGAGCTTAGCGAAGCGTTGCGGCAGTGAAATCACCTCAGTAACGAGAGACTATGCAAACCTGGAACGCACCGCGAAGAGCACACAATCTGTACGTGCATACGCACACATGCGTGCAAGATACATGTGCGGCCATCCCACGGAACTTAGCCTAACAATTCCTTGTTTCCATGTGGAGCAGTAATGCACCACTGGCCTGATGCGTTTTGACGTCGTCTGCGGAGGCGTATATCCGACTACGTTGGGTAGTCTACTTGTTGATTCGGCACAGTGGGGCCGGGAAGTGGCCGAGAGATCGGCCATTCCAAGTATGACTCATACTGTATGAGTTCCTATGGGGTGACTAGCGCTCGTGTGCGACGAGAGTGGAAGCGTACACTTCCACCCCGTTCGTGCCTATATTTAACGTCCTCTGTGGGGAACGTTATTCGTCCACGGTAATTAGTCTACCGGCCCAGCGGGCCTGGGAGATGGTCGAAAAAGGAAATCAACCATTCTAACCACCGTGAGACACTACGATATGACTAGCGCTTGCGTTCGAGGGTAGAAGTGGAAACTCTCACCTCGTTCACTTCTGATGAACGTTGTCCATCCCCAACGTTCTCTGTGGAGAACGCGGTCCAGCGGGACCGGTAAGTGGCTGAGAAATTGGTCATTTTTAGTACTGTGTGCAACTGAGAGTTGCGTCGGTCCAGTGGGGCCAGGAAGTGGCTGAGCAATCGGCCACTCCAAGTACTGTGAGCAACTGAGTGTTGCGTCGGTCCAGTGGGGCCAAGAATGGGCTGAGAAATCGCCATTCCGAGTACTGTGAGCAACTGAGTGTTGCGTCGGTCCAGTGGGGCCAAGAATGGGCTGAGAAATCGCCATTCCGAGTACTGTGAGCAACTGAGAGTTGCGTCGGTCCAGTGGGGCCAGGAAGTGGCTGAGCAATCGGCCACTCCAAGTACTGTGAGCAACTGAGTGTTGCGTCGGTCCAGTGGGGCCAAGAATGGGCTAAGAAATCGCCATTCCGAGTACTGTGAGCAACTGAGAGTTGCGTCGGTCCAGTGGGGCCAGGAAGTGGCAGAGTAATCGGCCACACCAAGTGCTGTGAGCAACTGAGAGTTGCGTCGGTCCAGTGGGGCCAGGAAGTGGCTGAGGAATCGGCCACTCCAAGTGCTGTAAGCAACTGAGTGTTGCGTGGGTCCAGTGAGGCCAAGAAGTGGCTGACAAATCTGCCATTCCAAGTACTGTGAGTAACTAGTTGTTACATCGGTCCAGGGGGCAAGAGGATGACCGAGAAATCAGCCATCTCTATCACTATGAGCCACTGCCCGCTGCCTCGGTCCATCGGACCGCAATATGGCTGAGATGCTAGCCGTCTCACTGTCTGTTGCACCTGCCCAACGGGGACGGGAGATGTCCGGGGTCGGCCATCTCAACTTCTATGAGGATGGAATCCTCTGGATTTGTGTTCGATAATTGACTTGCGAACTTCCGAGTATTTCGTGTCTACTCATATAATATGAGTCATATTATATGAGTTATATATATCTCCTGTGGCAGAGTAACCATTGGTTACTAACCGAGACTTGTTCTTCATCCCGAAAGACATCTGTTCATCGACTGGATATTGGTCGGGAGTGTGGGAGAGGACCAAACACTGTGAAGCCGAAGTCGGATCACAGGATGTTACTTGGGCTCTGGGTTCACAGGATATGTTTGGTCACACAAACTATGTCACGAAATATGGCTCATGTGGCCTGACATAGGTTAGCGTCTCCCAACCAACTTGAGACAAGAGACTCGAAATAACGATATGATGAACCAACTTAAGGTATGGAATCATCTCGATCTCAATGAGCTACGGAGCGCACATCATGACATAACCAGATACTAAGTAAGTTACCTTAGGTTATGAGGTTAACACACCTTTTATCCCCGGATAAACCCTCAGGGCTCCGTGACGAAGCTGATGGCAATGTTGTAACAACTTTGTTATTACGGCATCGGTGTGCACCACCATTCTCGTAGCTCTCCCGGAAGGTTGCAGCTCACCACCTCACATTAATGCGTCAATGTATGCGCGGAATGTTAGTCAGCGCTACGGACTGTTCGCCGTCCGTCCTGAACGGCTCAGGTGGATCCACGAATGGCCAAACCTTAAGGGTATGGGATGCTGTTGAGTTGACCTCCCAGCGCGGAACTTCATGTGTTATTAAGAGATCTGCTAGCTGTATTGTAACTTGATAATATTAGCTGATATCAAGTTGATATCAGCCGACATGCATCCCAATAAACTAGAATGTTAAGAATCATCGGTGAGAATCGGGATGCTACAGTGTAGCCCTGAAGAATACCGCTAGACCTGCAGGCTGCAGCATTGGGACTCGAACCAGCGAAAAAAACAGCTCCCTGTTCCTCGTCAGGAGCTAGGCCGATTGGAGTACTCAGCTGATCCGTGTTATCCTCGCCGTTGATCTTGGCTAGGGATTCGTGCACGAGGTGGTCAGGAACTGTTCATCATTGCCGTCGAATCAGCGAACCACCTACACCTCGAGTTGGTACTGTCGGTACCGCGAGCGGGAGGAGTGCCGATCCGACCGGTCTCATGATGATGAGATGACCCCACGAGAGGATGATCCTATGACTCAGTCTCAATCATTCAGGGCATGGGAAGTATGTAGTTACCTCCTACATTGATTTACCACCACGATACCATATGTGAATCCAGAGTGCGGGATTGGAATAGGGGGATGTGTGCCGGGCCCGTATCGGTGTGCAACAAGTAAAACCTAGTTCGCACCATGCGGTCCCTGCCACATAGAACCTTCGGCGCATTTGCAGGTTATGGATTCCCCGATTGCCGATCTACAGATAAGACAATGAGACTACTAGTCTGAGACTAGTGGCAACGTTGAACGTTGCTTGATTGGCAATCTCGCGCACACTTGGAAATCCAGCCTTCGCTGAATGGCGCCTCGGTTCTCCAATCCCACCCTCTCGAGTCGGAGGGGCTTTCATTGAGAGCTTAGCAAAGCGTTGCGGCAGTGAAATCACCTTAGTAACGAGAGACTATGCAAACCTGGAACGCACCGCGAAGAGCACACAATCTGTACGTGCATACGCACACATGCGTGCAAGATACATGTGCGGCCATCCCACGGAACTTAGCCTAACAATTCCTTGTTTCCATGTGGAGCAGTAATGCACCACTGGCCTGATGCGCTTTAACCACACCCACCCGACCCGGGGGATGTGTGCCGGGCCCGTATCGGTGTGCAACAAGTAAAACCTAGTTCGCACCATGCGGTCCCTGCCACATAGAATCTTCGGCGCATTTGCAGGTTATGGATTCCCCGATTGCCGATCTACAGATAAGACAATGAGACTACTAGTCTGAGACTAGTGGCAACGTTGAACGTTGCTTGATTGGCAATCTCGCGCACACTTGGAAATCCAGCCTTCGCTGAATGGCGCCTCGGTTCTCCAATCCCACCCTCTCGAGTCGGAGGGGCTTTCAATGTGCTTGCCTTCAGCGTCTTGTGCAAACTAGGTGGAGCTTCACATCGGATGCCCGATTTCGTTGACGTAGAATGGATGAAGAGGAAGTGAGGTTAATGTATACCCTATGCAGGATTCGAACCTACGACCATCTGCTCCGTAGGCAGACATTCTATCCAGCTGAACTAATCGGGTCCTTTCAGTTTCAGATAAACTAGCGGTCCTACGGGTCCGCTTTCAGTCCTTGTCTTACGCTTTCTAATGAACAATACCGGACCTTTATCGTGTAATATCTATCATCGCACATTGGAAACGAGCCCGGGCTTGACTTCACAGTCGAGAGCGACAATCTGCATGTTAGCTACTCATCGACCTTCTATATTGACGTCGTTGAATATTGACGATTTACTTATGTGTCAATAGCGAACTGTTTGGTATGGTACTTGTGCTATCGTGTTAACGCCGATCCCCCCGAGACGCCAAACGCGAGTGATATGTGGTGGAAATCGCCGTGCAAAGAAACAACATAACGTACAGTGTGAATTACCCGTTCTGAACCAATCTCAATGAACTTTCAGAACAGGTTTGGTCTAGCTCCACCGTCACCATGTATACAGTCAAGTAGTCCGCCGCAGAGCAGAGGGGGGAGGGAGCTTCGTATGCAAAGTGGTGATCTGAATGCCAGCAAATGCGCAGGTAATCAATATGATAGATGCTTCCGACAAGCTCGACTTGTGCTGGCCCTTTGGCAGCTCGCTTCTTCCAAGTGGTTCGATCAAATACGGAGAAGCTTGCTCGAGGCTTCTTGGCCGACGACTCTTCTTCTGCAGAGGTCACGGGCGAGTAAAAGTGACAGTCCAGAAGCAATTACCCAGCGGTTCGCGACTCCTTTTCACCAGTGGGACCTCCACACCCCGCCTCGCTATACTCAGAGTCGGCTCAGACAAGTGGGACCTGTCACCAATCCTATTACCACGTACCTTTCTATCTCCTACGTCTGAACATGTACACTATGAGATGTACCAGACTGACGTGCCGCGGCAAAAGGATTAGCCGAGAGTTTACGGCGTGTCGGTGCAGCGCGACAGGAGACCGGCATCTGCGCACGATGAGTAGATTAAGCTCGATATGGTAGGACTCGTTAACCACCTTTGATGGCTCTCTTGTAGCAGCGTCCGTAACTGATAACAAGAGTGATCCAAAGCATTCAAGCGATGGAGCTGCATGACATACACTCAAGCAAATAATTCCATTCATGATTCATTCGATAGAGAGGATTATTCGTTTTGAACCAAAGAGGCGGATGGATATTCGAGCTTAACAGTCACAACCATCTCAGTGAGCATTTCGTGAGTATTGAGCATCGGTAAAATTGAGCACGCCGTGAAACAGAAGGCACTCCATCGCATCACTGGATGCATCATTAGCGGTGAGGTGGTCAAGTAGATCCTCCATATCGAATTCCTCCTCATCCTCGTCCATCTGATCAGCCTCGACCATAGCGGAACCCGGTAGTCCACCCAGCATCTCAGACTCGAACTCGTTCTCTAGTGTTGTCTCCGTAGTAGCTCCTGGTAGCGGACTTCACCAGTCGCCTTCGATCCCCCACTCACTAGACGACTGAGAAACAGGGTCGCTGTCCTCTTTAACACGCGCCTTCTCAGCACCGCGAGCCACAGAGCCTCCCAGCGCTCGGGTTAGCCCGGCAAGGAACTGACAAAAGGTTGCTGCGAGCTGCACAACACAGGCGTGGCAACCTGAGTATCCTGCCCACACAGTGCCTCGCCTTTCGTTCCTCGCGCTTTCTCGGCTCCTGCTAATGCCTGCTCTTCGAGCCTTCGTTGCTTCTGTCGCCGTTCCCGAAGCTGCTCATATTCCTCCTGGAACCTGACCGATCTCGGTTTTGCATAAGGAAGGGCACAACAAACCAACGAACCGCTTCAAAGCTGCGAACTCCATCTTATTCAATGCAACGCGCTGGCTATGAGCTTCCGCGACCTTCGAGACAGAAGCAGAATCCTCCACTGTAGCAGCGGACAAGTCCTGAGTGGTGATGCCTTGTGTGGAGACCTGGCTGTTGTGCTTATCCGTACAATAGGCTGGCCCGTTCTAGCGCAGATTTTCGCATCCATCACATCGATGTCCACGAGGCCACCGACGACATCCGTAATGGAGGCACCAGAAAATTCGAGGCGACCGGCCTCCGTGAGTAGAGAACTGAGATCGACACTTACAGCTACGTAGGACACAAAGTCGAAGGAGATATTATCTCCATTGATCGATAATAATACGTCCGATCTAGTGTTACAGGTTAAGACAACCGCACCTCTCATAAAACTTGCAAAAGATCCAGGTTCAAATCCTGGCACTGGATATTCTCTCGCACCTTGTATCCTCCGTCATTGTTATGCACCTCTTCGTTCTCGGATCGAACACTCGATGGAAGAAAAAAACGGCTCGAGCCAACTCGAAGTTCTTCCGGAACGTCTCAAACCTTCAAACGAAGCGGCGCGGTTCTCCTCCTTTTCCCACGCGGGGAATCCAATGGCCCACTTTTCATAGGCGAGTTGCTTCCTGAACTTGTCCTCAATCTTCAGAGCTCTTAGAGTCCGTTGCCAGTTTCTATACTTGTTAACCAGCTTCATTGCAGTCTTAATTCCCATCCCGCTCAAATTGCATGCATGAGAGTAGTCACATCCAGCGAGAACCTAGTAGGTCAGGTATCGATGTGTCTAGAAGGGGGCCCATCCCCGCTCACACAGGCATCAATGAACACCTCTTTAGTCCAGTCACGTAAATTAGCTAAATCAGCGCCGTACTTGTCGCGAAGTTCTCTAAAGGATAGCCGCTGGTCCTCTTGCTCGTTCGACTTTTCCTAGAATCGAGTTTATCGCAGAGCAGGGGTAACGATCGCACACCTTGAGTTTGCTGCCGCCTTTCAATGCCCAAGATATGTCGACGACCTGGCAGTCTCCAGCCTGGTCCAACTTCGCAATCATCACCTTGCAGCCGTACCTCAACAACACTTGGAGAGCAAAGCATACAACGGTCCGCAACACTTACGGGAGTACATCGCTATCCTCGGATATCACGGCATCGACCAGACCTGATGATGGAAAGAGGCGCATAACAGGCTCACTTCCGACGCTCAAATCCATTACCAGCGGAATACATGTATCCGAGCTGAGCATCAGCTTCGTATGCCGCAACTATGAACTCCACCCCTAGAGCCTTCAAGGCACACATCACCTACTCGAACCAGATTTCCAATAGCCCATCATGTGATGAAACCGAACGATCACTATTTAGTATCCAGCATAGTCTAACAGGCTAGAACACTCACACCACTAACCAAACAAGAGAAAAATCCAGGTCCAAATACTGGCACTGGACATTCATGAGTACTCTGCACCTAATGATCCTATGGAGCACAGACGACATCGGCTAATAGTGATCTACAATACACTACGTGTCAACATCGTACAGTATAAAATCTACACTGAGAGCAGTCCAACAGATTATGGCATTCGTCCCGTTGGCTGAGTGAACGGAAGATCCAGGTTCAATTCCCGGAGTCACCTTTTGTATCATCTCTTTAGTAATCCTGACAGCCTGCATACATTTGCTTCGCACCTCGCTTGTCATCTGTGATGCTTGTGTTATACCGAGGCTCTCAATCATGGCCTTAGCCGAGTCCGCGGCAGTCTCTCTCGACTCGCCTGATGAACCACTTCGATGGCTGAATGCTGCGAAACTGACCTCTCTTCTTCTCTTCCTCGGCTTTGCCTGGCATACGGCATCCATCGAAGACTACCACTGGAGTTACGCTGAGATCCAAAGTCCCGAGTGATTATTTACAAAAATGGAAATGAAACTCTCAGTCTCACTCATAGCCTTGCAATAGGGCAATCATACGCAGGAAGAACGTGAGGAACTTATCGCTTTCACGCCCAGACACCAGTTCAAAACAACAAGCAATTGCTCCACGATGCATCCAGCACTGAGAAAAGGAAAACGAGTGTATCTACCAGTGAGCTATGATTCTAACATGATAGTGAATATTTCCTAAACGACGTCGATGAAGACCACCACGGACAGGGCCACAATCTCGATCCGACAAAGCATGAACACTCTTCTAGCCAACACCTACCATTGCATCAATCCCTACACGCTTCCCCTTGAAGTCGGATATGTTCTGCTTCATCGCTGTGCATCCCTTTAGGTGTTGCAAGAGATTCTTTACTCCCATGCGGAATCGTGAATTTCTATCGATACACGAATTCCTCTACTTCCTCTGATGATGACCGTTGCTAAGCGATCAAGAATACCCCCTCCCTGCCTGACTAACACAACTAAGTATTCGAGACTAATACAAAGTGTCATACAATGGTGAAACAGGGCATACGGTTGCACTACTGAAGACAGTCATAATACAATCAATGGTCGCAACGAAGCTATACGTCAGCGGCGGCGGCGCTCCTCAAAATGAGTCATCGTCGTTGATAACTCGGCTACTCCTTGAGGTACTTCTTACCGAGACGATCGTTGTATGCTGCCTGCTTCTGGTGTAGTTGATAAAGGACGAGCCCACCGATTCCGATGAGAGAGAGCAGTAGCAGCATAACCGTCCGAAGCTGAAGAGAATACAGTCAAGTGACACTACTGCAGCGTTCGCGGAAGATCCATTAGAACCATCAATCTCACAACAAGGACTAACATTTCCATACCTCACCATAACGAGCCGGCCATATTGATGCCGCTGTATGCGAGCCCAGCCCAGCGAAACCTACCGGTGATGTTGCCATAGTGAAAGGCGTCTCACCCTTGAGCATATCCCCAAGGTATGTTCGCACAATCCAATGATAAACGATCTTCTCAGAGTATTCTCCTGTCGCCGATGATACGCATGGTGGACATGTAGAGGCTGGCGGCCACTGAGCCTTCCTGACATCCCCCCCAGGACTTCGGTGGGCGAACACCCGACCATTGACGGCATTATGGAATCTCCACAACCACATCACAGTCTCCTCCCTCGTGGGCGAATCACCATCCACACAGCGGCCGTACAGACACTTATCATAGTCCTCGACAAAATGCCTCCTACACTCTTCACATGCAAAGTACTGCGATACGATGGCTTTAATCCCCGTCATAGCAGCTAGACCGGTACGATCCCCAGTCAGATCATTCTGGTGCTTCTGCCCATTATACGGTCGATCAACCCCCAACGTAAGGTGATGAAGGAGCTGCCACAGTCCGCAGCTGAGTTGTCCACAGACCTTCCAATGACTCTCAGGGGCAAGCGCTTCAGATAACGCAATTTCGCCCCCTAGAAGAGGCTTATCAGCCAACAAGGCCATCCACTGGTCCCGAGCGAGAGAGTAAACACTCCGCAATTCCTCTCCAATATCGGCTATCTCTCCACGAAAGCCCTCATCGGGATGCAAGGTGGCGACTGTAGGCAATACCACGTACTTAAGGGTATCCAGACGATCCCCTTCCAGAGAGTCCCGGCCTGCCGGAAAGACTGCAGTCGCCATCAGATTAGCGAAAGCCAAGACTCCATCATGCACTCTAGCCTCTGCCGTATCGGACTTTCCCTCTCCTTTGCTCTCCTTCATTTCCACCGGTGCCCCCCTAAGGTGCTCAGTTGTCGGTATTTCGGCGAGCTGTAGGCGCTCAGGCAGCTGCTCATTGACGTAATCAGCAGCCCGAATTCGGCGATCCCACTCCGGTCCGGTCTTCTCGCCATCCCTATAACCGACCAAAGTCGGGTATCTATCGACGCCTGCTGATCTACAGGTTTCCCTATACTCATTACAATCAATAGCAAGGAAGGACAGCGAGGGTACTGTTGAGAAAACCTCAGCGACCATCTCGTATTCCGAGGCGAAGTGAGCACAGTGGCCGCACCAAGTGGCGTAAAACAGGACAATTCTAGTGGCTCCAGACTCAGGCCCCGACTCAGTCAAATTTATCAGTGAGTCGCCATCTACCTCCACCACCTTCCCATTCTCAGGCGGGAAGAAGCCTTTGCCTGCGAATACTGTGTACAACAGCACCGACAGCAACAGCCACAGCAATCGTAGTGGAGGCTTCTCCATATAAGAAACTACAAAAAAGGCGGAGCGAAGTTTTCTATAACTTCCCCGTGCTCAACATCGGCAGTGAATATACCAACTGAACGTAAAGGCAGTTTGGTATTGCTATTGGCAGTGGGGGTGTTATTGTTATCATTCTTCTACGTTACGATAGCACTGGTCACCAATGGTCTATTGAGACAATGCATCGAGTGGTGGTGTGCTTCAGTAGAGCCGTTTCGGCACCGATAATGAAGATCAGTACATTTGCATGTTCATGCCATCGGACTTCCCTCGAGGCCATCGTATCTTCTCATAATTGTGCTTGACATACATATAACAGTGCAGATACCTAAGGCAATGCTTCTACTATAAGGTCCACCCACCCCCCTTCTTGTCTACATGCTAATGAGCTCCTGCAGTTCATTCTTCAACGTGAAGTATTGGAGAGCGTCGTGACGAGCGATGTAACTGCGATAAGAGTAGGGGGTACTCCCGCAACGCTCGAGCTCACCTAAGGAGGTCTCCGAGCTGAGGAACGTTCTCGACAGATTTAGTAGCCTTGGACTTGGTCACCTGGAGAAAATACAACAGTCATTTTCACTACTGCTGGGCAGTGTGGGAAAATGGGAACATGGTCAGCTACGCGTGTTGGTGATAATATGACAATTTCGAGAATACTCTAGTTGGTTTCTGTAAATTTCCAGCGGAATTCGTATGCAAACTCCTGAGCTGAACTGAAGGAAGCGAGCATATATTCCAACATTGCTGCTGCTGCTTGGTCAATTGCATGCTTCCATCGTCGAGGAAGGAGCCATGAAGAGAGCTATACGAGTCAAGACGTAGACGACGACGACCAATTACTGCGCAAGAACGTTCAAGAGCGACCGGACCATGGAGATGTTCTCATGATGGAGAATTCCTATGGGACCCATAACCTCCCATTATTCCTGTTTTATCATAGTGTATGGCAAAAGAGGTTTGCCCCTTGGTGTGAGGCTAGTAGCGCCCCAAGCGTGTATTCCCCTATAATGATGACGCACCTTGTCCTCCTTTTCACACATAGTCTCTTTTTCCTCGACAGCCCTCTCAAAATCCATCTGCCGAATAACTGATGACAACAACAACAAGAAGCCAGTATACCATTTCGAGCGCCACAAAATTTCCCTACTCTCAGCTCGTGCCTGATGATAGACCTTGTTCTCGTCTTGAGTATCATCACACCACTTCAAATACTCACCCAACCTATCAAGCAAACCTCTTCCATAAACGTTATATAGACCCTCCCTACTTCCCGTTGAACTGTGCCTGGACTTCGACACCGAAATTATTACCATCCTCCTCACGCGGAACATGCATGAGAACGTAACGCTGGAGTCGAGAGAGCCTACGAGACAAGAAAAAAAGCTCAACTCCACACAAGCTGCTCAGCCACTGCTGCTTCTGTCAAGACTTGAATCGTTAATCATCAAGTGTAACGACAGAAAAAGGACGATTCTCCCACGTATACTACTTATCGCTGGCCCTGTCGAACTCCTTGGTGACGATCCTGCTAACTTCAACTATCACAGGATTTGGTTTCCCCGACTGGATTCCCTCGGATGAGCACTCCTGATCATCATCACGTAACAGCTTGATAATGCTAGCCACTTGTAGTTATAGTTGTTCTTATAGTAGTACTAGTGCATTTCTTCATCAATTGCTAACAAAGAAGCGACCAACCAAACGAGGATAATAAGCCTACTCAGATGCTTGAACCGCAATTGGTTTTCTGTCCAACACAGTGAGCATTTTACTCATAATTCCGTGAGCTGTTTTGTACTGTACATACTCCTGATTTCTATCGCTATTTCTGATCGCTATTGCCTCCCAACAACCCTCTTGATAAGACGAGCAAGTAGCAACCAGAATTATAGTTTTTTATATTCCCTAAATCATCACTGCTGGGATCACTACTCAGGCGTGCGAGGACCCACCCCCCCTCCCCCGGCCCTCTCCCAGGCGGTCGCCCAACCTACCTTCTTCGCAAAGGCATCTTCCAGTTCCACAATGTCCTCGGTTCGAGTAAATACTTTAGGGACACGCTCCTCCAAGTCCAATATCAAGGCCGGCAGCTCCTGTATTATGCTTTCGCCAACTGAGAAGCCAACCCAATACATGCTACAACACGAGAGCTATGACGGATCTATATGCAGATCTACGCAAGCTCATTTATTAGAAGATAATCCTCCCCAGTGCAGACTTGATGACGCTCTACCGGATGGTAGCTTCGAAGTTTATGCCTTATGAGTGCTTACGAGCTCCGGATCGAGCTCAGGATGTGAGAGAATGATATAGGTACAGGGAGGTACTAGTATTATACTAAACCCCCTCACAAAATAATAGAACATACAGTATTTTTTCGATTTCTCTGTTATTACTGCGACTCAGGTTGTGAGATTTTGTGTTTAGTATACTTATACTATATAACACATTATATAGTAGTACCTATATACTAGTAGTATATAGATACTAGTACAAGGATCGAGCTCTCATAGAAGTCCAACATAGACTGCACACGATTATGCTTCCTAGTGATCACCCAACGATTATGCAAATGTGTAAAAACAATCTGCTGTCGGCAATGGAATACAAAACGATAGAACTATGATAAAGATATGATGAAACTATCTATGACGAAAGTTCATATGCGGATAGCATGGGTGTAAATAATGAGAATTCTGATCGTGAGAAGAGCAGGGCCCCTCTCCAACACTACCTGCATCAAATCTCTTAATCAGCTCCTCGAGCCTCTCCTGTGTGTGAGCAGAATCCTTTCTTAATGTTCCGTTAGACAAACGCCTTTTCTTACTAACAGTGTGGTCGACCATTAGAGATGAGGAGGCAAAAAGAAGAAGACCCAACAGCGACGAGCATAACATGAGCATGCAAACACGCAGAGCCTTCATACCACCCTTAGCGAAGCGAGACTGAGAACTCTGCTATTCGATACCTAGGAGTGCTCCCTTTCTCGCAAATTCCGCGAGAATGAAAAAAATTGTCGCCGCCCCATCGGACTAGATTAACGCCCAAGATAAACCCGTCAACAACGAGCTCATCTCGGGCGTTTCATCCAGCCCCCCGGTTAGACCGTGACAAATCTCCATTTCCCAACCTGTCACTATCGAGCGAATCTCTGCGCTGCATATTTTCTTCCACTGAACAACACCACAATCGCCGCCCATGATACGGTCATATGCTAGAGTTATACACCTTTCAGTTAGATGATCATACCCCATGACACGTCAGTACATATGCATATTCCGACTGTCAGAACGCCCCCTAGGCCAACGCACCTTCTCGTTATTATGCTTCACGTAAATATAGCAATGTATGTATCTACACAAGGAATCTGTGCCCATTTGAGAGAACATCGAATCACAACTCCAATGATACATAGTAGGCTTAATGCCACAGAGTGTGAAACGGCTCGTACAGCGATCCGAGGTACCCCTGGGACATCCTACAATATCTCTGAGGAGGTATTACTTTATATTGAAATGAAAGAAAGATGGTAACCTATAGAGTTGGTTGGAGAAAGGAATTAAATCTCACTGCGGTTCAAAGCTCTCAGACTACGATTAAGCTATAGTTGGTGCCAGCTTAGGACAAGAGTGAGAGTTGATATTGAGCATAACCAACTCCACGGGCATCCCTACATGTTGACGATGCTTTTCATGAGGTTCTTCACTTGGAAATAGTGTCTGGCATCATATCGGGCTAGATGACTGGAAAGGAATGAATCCAAGCTCAATGATGGCAAGATTCAAATAAGGTTCGAATCCGGAATCCGAGCTGCTATTACCATAGTGAATCCCCCATAGGAGCCGGATTGTTCACAACCTTCACAGCCTTAGATGACGAGATCTGAACAAAGACAAGTTACATAGTTTACTCAGTAAGTACCATAATGCTACTCCTGTATCTACGATGGACAGAGGAATACAAACTACGCGCAGATACATGTTTTGATGCACACTCATCTCACATGTACGGAGTGAGAGATTTCCTCCCGAAATGAATTCTATCAAGTACAACCGTGCCAGTACGAGAATAAGGACTCCACAGAGCACACCTACTTTATTGCCATTTTCAGAGTAGTTCTCCTTAGTCGTCACCCTCTCACCCACTCCCAGCCTTCGTAAAACTGAAGACAATTTCTACTCCATGCTCTCTACTGCCCACCAGACCTCCAACTCTCGATCGATAAACCCGGGCGCATCTTACTCTCAGCTCTCGTCTCGTGATATACTTTGCACCCGTGGTGAATATCATCACACCATCTCATGTACTTCGTCACCCTGGCAATGATAATTTTGTGGCGCGCGGTAAAATTCCAAGGAAACACTCAAACGCTCTCAATTTCACCACAACCACCCTTATCTGCGCTGATACCCAATAGCAACTCGTCTCAAATGTACTTTGCCAAAAATCCTTTCTGTACAGCAACTCCAAAATTATTCCCGTCCTCTTCCCTCGGTGTATGAATCATCACATATCGCTCAACGTGGCCCAATCTTGACAAGAAAAAAACGAGTGAAAAACTCCGATAAAAACGCCAAGATCTTCACACCTCTCGATAGCCTTTTCGGCGGCCTTCATTATAGACCTATTAATCCTCAGCAGCACCGGGTGCACCTTCCCGGATCGCACAGACATTTCTGAGCATTCCTACCAAGGGGCGTCTTCGACACTCATGCCGAATTAACATGGGACATACAAGAATAGGCGAATTTAGGTGACAGCCGTACACGATGACGAACTACAGTAGTTCCGATTAGTACGTTTTATGGTATACCGTTCAGAGGACTGACTGTTTATATACAGATGGGTGAATTTCTCCGCTCACATTAGCCGCGAACGCCTCCTCGATTTGCTGTATGTTTCCCTCGAGAGAAAAAACGTTAGCAAACTCTCTCTCCAACTCCACCACGTACAACGGTAGTTCCTTGAGCACGCGTGCACCAACTGACATGCGGAATCATCGAAACCCGACATGACTTCCTATGGCCGAGGCACCCTCGCCGAAGAACAGCATTCTCCGATTGAAATGTTTCGGTGACAAACATGAAAACCACAGGGGTGTTCACGACACAGTCCGTGGCAGTTTCTCCGCAATCAACCTCCCCCGGTGAGCGCATGTGAAAATAAAGAGACTAGCTAATTCCACCTTGCTTGAACGACTACTTGCACTTTGTGAGGAAATGTTGTACACGAGTGTCTCCTGTAATTTCAGATTATTGTGATACTTGTCTCCCTTTCTAGCCTAGTGTATACTTCATAACTACTGTATTGAACATAATTTAAGAATCACTTGTTAACAACGCATATTGAGTTATCTAATCCTAACACACTTGCGCCATAAGCATTACCCCAACACCCGTCAATTACCCTCATCATACGTAAGCAATAACTTATCCAACTCGGCTTGGGCCTCCTCGAGTGTCAGCTGCTCTCTTTCGGACGACATGTACTAGTGAAAATACGAGAAAGAATACCCAAAAGTAATTCCAGTAAGTCCTTTCCATTGATGCACTGCAACACAAGAGCTCTCGCGTGAAGCCAGATTGAAAGGGTGTATCTCTTAGTGCCACTCCGGACTAGTTCACGCGACTACTATAGCCGACGACGATGACAGACCGAAGATGCTGCTGGAACGAACGAGTCAGTACATATGCATGTTGAGACCTTCAGATCTCCCACGGGGCCACCGTACTTTCTCGTAGTTGTTCTTGACATACACATAACAATGTACATACCTACAACCAGCAGTGCTAAACTCATTGAACGTTGAACGCCTCTGAACGCACAATGAGGGCATTCCCATAAGAGGAGACGCGCAAGGGGACTAAGGGATTACATGCTGATTAAGCCTTGCATTATGTTCTTCAATGTGAAGTATTGGAGAGCATCATGTCGGGCAAGGTAACTACAGAGAGTTTGATACCGTCACGCGCCATGAAATTCCCCAACCAACCGACCAGGTTAAATCTCCCATATGCGGCACGTTGGCGACGGTCTTAGTCGCCTTAGACTTCGTGACCTGAGCATTAGCGTGAGCGAACTATACAGATGCACGCATGCACAGAAGATATTCGCTCTACCTTATCCTCCTTCTCGCAGACAGTCTCGCGAAACTCCAGTTTTTCGTCCAGTTCCATTCGACGTAGAACTGAGCAAATGATAGACCTCAGCCGTCAGCAATCTCATTGATCCAGCGGCCTTGCCACTCACAATGCTTCCAACATCGGTGAGAAATGAAAAAATGAGACCCCTAATATATACAGCACAAACCTTGATTGAAAGGTTTGTGTTGTAAATCCGAACATATGCAGACCGCGGGGTTCGATCCGGATACCTATCCCATGACAGCCGATCAACTTACTATCTGCCCTGGAATGATGATACGACTTCCCCTCATCTTGAATAGCATCGCACCACTTGAGGTACTTAGAGAGCCTGCAAATCGCCACAATGACCGAGCTCAAGACAATCCCTCATGTCACTACTTTGAGTAGAATTGCCCCTGCACGGCCACACCAAAGTTGTTACCATCCTCTTCCTTCGGGACGTGCATAAGTACAAACCGCTGCAATCGAGTGAGCCTAACAACAACAACGACTCCAACAACACCATTGCATAACCAATTGCGGAAATCCAAAATCCGAAAGACCAGTGTGGTTAATATTTCCACATGTGTTGGTGACAATATCAAAACTCTAAGGAAATTTTGGAGAATTTATGTTAGTTTCTCTACACTTCTTTTATATAGTCTCTCAATTCGTATATGGACTCCTATGATAAGCGAGGGAACCATTAAGCTCTGCTGAGTAAAGCGAACAAATTTTGCAGCACTGTCTTTGACATTCTACACCATCACAAAACATCACCATAGCGCAAATTCACGCGCTGAATACCATGCCTCCACATAGCAGTGGAGTCGTTATGAACAGCATGAACAGCATCGCAATGTATGTTGGACCACAGGTATTTTGCCTCCTCATAACACTACCTGTCAATCGCTATGTCGATCTCTCTGGTGACTGCCTTGCCTGCTTCAACCACTCGTGAATTGGGATTGCCCGATCGAACCCCAGACGCCGAACACTCCTATACATGATAAATGTACCCTTACCGAGAATCGAACCCACGGTCTTGCGATCCACAACGGACCGACCGTCCTACCTCAGCTGCAAACGCCTCTTCCACCTCGATCACATCACCGGTCATAGTGAATATGATGGGAATCTTTCTCTCCACTTCAAGAATGTACAAAGGAAGCTCTTTCAGCAAATGTTCGCCCTCTGAAGACGTGACCACATCACGATCACAACTGTCAATACAACCGGAAGGGCAGGAGTTGAAAACCGAGCCTCGCATGCTACTACGCTCCACACCACTATCCGACATATTCCGCATAGAGCCCGAGAGAGACTACCCATCAATGATGCAGAGAGCATATATACGAGCTTTGTATAACGACGATGCCATAACCATCATAATAGTAAAGTTTTGAGCGTCTTACCCAAGCCCACATATTACCATTATCGTAGGTTTCGAGTAGACGATCCAACTCCCTCTTCACTGTAGCCGAGTCGGTTCCATTAATCATCGTACTAGCCTTATTTGGACTCTTTGTAGACGTGAGGGAGTTGTGTCGACTGTTTACCATAATGTACTACTGTCAGAGTAGTACAAAAAGGAACTAACAGGGATCAGCGATAAACCTAGGAGCGACGCCACTCCTGACACTATTAGATGAACCCGTCAAGAAATCTATGTGGTACTAGCAATCGCGTTCTCCTAATCGTTCGAAAGGACCATTTGCGAATAACACAAGCTTTACGATTGAAACTAATATAGTGTATATGTAGCGTAAGCTCCTGATAACGCGTTAGGGCGGCAGCTCGGATAAAGCTATCAACCAATGGCTGATGAGGCCATGGACACCGAGCACCACCATGGCATTGCCCTATATGTCCAATCCGAAACTCTGACAATAACAAACACATACACGAGGGTCGACTCAGACGGACGCAGGAGTCCACACGAGCTCCCGACTATCACTGCTTTGTGGTGGCACCCCCACGGAAGAAATGCTCAACAACAGTCGGGTTATCCCACGAAAAGCAAAAAACATAAACAAATCCACAACTATGCACGAGGATGGTACACTTCCCGGCAACGTTCGTCTACTTCTCGCAAACTCTCCGTGACGGGTCTCACACACCACGAACAAGGCTCGAACAGTACTTCACAAAGCCATCGTGGAGGCATCCAGAAAATTCAAGCTCAACCACCACAGCGTTACCCCATCTTCAGTGAGTATACATACTAATCACATGTCATCGAGCCTCTGTATATGGACGGTGAACCTTTCACACAATAGTACCTTATCTACTACAGACAGTAGGGGGATGTACGCGCTTATGACAGCGGACCATAAGTCACAAATGAAACGTCTACCAGATACTTCCTTATTAGCAAATCGATTATTATGGCGAGCGCTACAGCCACTTGTGGTGCTCCCAGGCTTCCCGTCCAGGAGCTTCCTAGTGCTTGATCGCGGACTGGGGGCACTGGGGCCGCCGGGCTTGGCATCACTCATACATTTAATCCAAGAGTCTGATCACTGAGGATGACTCGATAATGTAACCCACTCAGTTCACCAGAAGAGAATATTCCAGCGGCTACCCACGACCCTCAGCCCTGAGAATCATCTAACTACTCGCTCAGTCGTCCACTTGCATCACTTCCTCTGCAGACGTTGACTCTACTTTCTTGTAGGACTCCCCAGATTGACCACACCACAAAGGCATTAATGAGACTATTGAACCGCACACCGCGATCGACGGCTGGATGTTCGAGCAGCCATCCTCGGGGCAACTACATGAGCATGACGTGGGTCATCTTGAGGATAATCGACGAGCTCAGCCTTCACTACCTTCTGATGGACCTAACATGTTACCTGCGAGGAAGAGCACTACATTAAGCCCACTTGGATCTCCGGTTCCTTCAGAGTTATCCCCGCCAGATTCGCTGCTATCTGATAGAATGCAGTGGCGACCTCATCACCAGTCTTCGCCGAGACGAGGAAGTGTCCACTCCTACAAGATGCAGTAGATCATCATCACCTATGGAGTCGCCCTACATGCCTCGTTCCAGAGCGAAGACACTGTGCTTGGCTCGGCTCACCATACGCATGTGCTCAAGGTCGTCCTTGTTAGCCATTAGGAATAGCAACCTATCAATAGCTGCCACATGGCCACAGCCAGAGGAAGGTCCTCACGGGAAGTCGGGCTTCTCCTCCGTCTGGCTACTCCTCACTGCCCTGAAAGGCTCAAACTAACTACACGAACGAAAGAGGAGCTCTGAACACCCGTAAACAAGATGCAGCCAGTCGTTGAGATCTTGAAAGCTCTGATAGCTAGTGATATCATACACCATAATCACTGCATCCGAACCATAGATGTACCTATTCCGGCGACACGCCATAACGTGCCCCCCCACCCGCTCGTATACTCTACACACTAATCTATCCCATCGCGTAGACGTAGTAATACGAGGATCCCACAAGTAAACATGTTGCACTGCCGCTAGCGATAA